GAAGAAATTAAGGTAGAGGGTCTTGTGAGAAACTTTAGAAGTACAAAAAGGCTTACAATAATGCATCTCAACACAAGTACAAAATGGTTTTACAAAAATTACATCGAAAAGATAAAGAAAATTAACATTCAAGAAAGCATATATGCCATAAGATCCATCCTACAACACTCAACATAATTAGACCGCAACATTGGGTGACGCTGGATACTCTTCATACCCTGTGATTCCTGTAATCCTAATCCTCGTATTCGGCTGCAATATCAAGTCAGAAATCACAATGTAAGTAATGTTATTCACAGTTCTACAGATTCATCAAATTTATACCTGTCGGTGACCAATGTTTCTTCGGTACTTCTTCTTTGGCTTGTACTTGAAGACTACCACTTTATCATCCAGACCCTGCAGAAACAAAAAGACATTGCATTTTTCCCCAAGTTAGGTATGGAAAAGACGAAAACAAAAACACAAATCAGATATTTCAGAAAGGCTCTTATTACTTGACTTTCGACAACAGCATGTACAGTGGCATTGGTCACAACTGGTTTGCCAATGTACGTGTGTGTCTTTGTGCCAACAAGTAAAACCTTGTTCAGAACAACCTGCACAAGAGAAGGAACAAAAATGGGATCTTTCAAGAAAGCAACAGAGAACAAACCACATACATAGTAAACACAAGCCAGCATCAAAGTAAGGCGAAAAAACAGAACTTGTACAATAGAATATCTTCCATTGTTATCAATCTGTTTCACAGATTTTAACATAAATACACCTACTTAACCATAGGAATCTACCAGCCCATCCAGATTATCACATGAATGGATTCCAAAGAGAAGTAAATGAATGAAAATCATCGAGATGAATGTGCATTACCTGATCATCGACACTTGCATCTTTCAACCTCGAAGTGTAGAGATACCTCCCTGGAAACACAATGTATTGTCTTCCACCAACCTATCAAATCAAACAGAACACTAAACTAAATCAGAGATAGCATATGAGAGAAGGAAACCGTCACAATACAAAGGCTTTATAACATCATTTTGGAAAGATAAAATTGTTCTGATTCATAAGAAGTCACAAAGACATTCGTTAACACTAAAACCTAGCTCTTGAAGACTACATGCCCAGAAAACAGTCTCTAATCAAAATCAACCAAAACTGTCTGCAATACAACATCACTTTGGAAAGCTGAACTGTTCTTATTCATAAGAACTCACTAAGACATTCGTTAGCCCTTAACCTAAATCAAAATCGATCAAATCAACCAGAAATTCCAAAGAGATAGATTCAAATCGAGAATTGTTGTAATATGGGTTTGATTCAGCAGCTTACCATGATAACGGCGAAAATCTCTTCGCGTTTAGGCTTATCCTCATCAGCGACCTCGGAAAGAACAACAGCTTCGACATCTGTAGTTTCCGGCTCAGTCTCGACGGCAGATTCAGCGAATTTCGGAGCAGCGAGGAATGAAGGTCGAGAGGTCGACGCAGTTGAAGGAAACCCAGTCGAAGGTTTAGAGAGAGTAAGAGAGGGTTTAGAGAGAAGAGAAAGAGTAGAGCTCGAACGGCGAGAAGCGACATTGCAATGCGAAGCGAAAGCAGAACAGAGAGAGAGAGTCGCCGAGGAAGACGCCATGTTTCGCCGAGAACTCTAAGTTTAGAACCAAAAAGCTTCGCAGAGTTATCCTATCCACTTACCTCTTAAATTACTAATATACCCTTATCCTCAATTTGGTTTAGTTTTCTGGTGGAATCCAAACCAAAAAGTTATCAAATCGAACCGAACCAAAATAAATTTTGGTTTTATTGAAAACCTGTTTGAACCGAATACCAAATGCCCATTATCCCAAGGCCTAATGATGAAGCAAAATTATCCATAGTAGAAGAAAAATTTAGAAAATTGCTCATCTACAA